TTGTCCCCCCCTCTGTCGTGTAATACCACCGTTTCTCTGTAATGAATATTCACAAGGTCGGGTTCATGGAGTTTAAGTGTTGCAGGGAATCTTGGGGACTTGTTTAATCCTAACCCCATTCTGTCTGAGCTGCTCCCAGGTGCCTGGGAGAATATAATTTGGGAGAGGATGTGAGTGGAAGAAGGAAAGAGAGACACCACCACTGAGGGGATGCATATCGGATTTTGGGATTTTGGGATGGAAGGCTGAATAATTTCTGTTTTTACATAAATTAATATTAACTGAGGATTTTTTTAAGGCATGTCTGGGTCTAGTGATTTAGAACTTGAACTTTTTTATTGTCGTTAAACCAAAATAGTCACGTAGCAGAATGGAATATAATGAAAACCTGGTGGACTCTCTCTTTTGTGCTTAGTTATGTCCTAGTGTGCTTTGATTGGCCAGTACTCTTTCGGCTCATTTCGCACGGTAGATGTTTACCTTGAGGGTTTTCTGCCTTAAAGGTTTTGTTTTAGCCCAAACCATAATCTTTTCCTAAACCCTAAACAAGTAGGTTTGTTGCCTAAACCTGAGGAGACTTTTGGCAGAAAACCTCTCCTATGTGCGCTCAATTTCTCTAACCAGTGTAGCATGAAGGCATGGGGGAAATCGGCAAGCTAGCTAGTTATATAGTCAGCGGCTAAATGAGTAACAGCTCAGTGGTTCACCCACGCACTCTTGTCACAATGTTCCATGAGTGACAACTTTGTTTGCCTCATTTTCTGTAACCAGTGTAGCATTGAAGCATGGTGCTAAGCAAGCGAACTAAGTAGCCAGCTGCTAAATGGATACAATTTAACAACTTCATCCTAATGTCAGCATGCCAACATGCTCACAGTGACAATGCTAGCGTGCTGATGTGTTTCTTGATCTGAGAGAGCCACAGGTTAGTATTAAATCAGGGTTTTCATTTAGCTACCCACTGAATGAATGACACTATTGATGTAGGCTGTCCCATACACAGTCTGTCAATAAATGATCCGGTCCTGCCTGGGCCCTTTTAGGCAATTTCCAGATATTTGATTATAACAGTGATTGCCAAGTTTATAAGAGCTGCTATATGATATTATCACATTCACATCCTGCTTGCTTTGGCGAAGGGCCACTCAGTGGTGCTCAGCAAACCTGGATGCCAAGATACACCGGTGAGGCGGACAGGCGAGGGAGGCTCGGCTAACAAAATCAGGGTCCTTGTTGCCGTCTGTCCTCTCGCTCTGGAACATTAAGCCCACAATGTGTGGACAGCTCATCAAGCACACTGCTCTATTCACATCTGATCATAGAGGCACATAGTCCACGCTCAGCGTTTCTCTCCTGCAGTACCATTTCTTATAATTTCCTGCTGCTGCAGTTTTCATCTTGAGGCTGATTTTGTCCCTTTCAGGTTTGCCTGTAAACACCATAAATCACAATGAGCCTCGCCACTTCTGTCACTTTTACATCTCTCTCCTACTGACTCGGTACAGCAAGTGCTAGACTGCGGTTGCTGCTCAATTATAATTACAGCCTTATCATTAACAATGTACCCTGCCTTATTACTGTATAGCTTAGCTTATTTGTTTTCATCACGCAGAATTTAGAAAATAGTCACGCTCTCATATTTTATATTGCCTAAGAAAGACTTTCTATATTAGTGGTTCTCAACCTTTTTCATCTTGCTACACCTTAAAACAGAGCAGTATAAGTGCAGCTTGTTCTGAAGACAGATTGCACTCGCAATTCCCCCCTCAGATTGATTTATTTCAATAATTGTTAGAGGCCTGATAAAGTAAAATTATGCAGTAATTCATCAAAAAGATTGTGTGAAATATATTTTGTCTGCTCTCCTATCCTGTTAATCATTTCATGACCTTTTGAGATTTATCTTGGGATCCATGGGGGCCTTTTGGAAGTGACACACAATGGCAGGTCAGAGAGGACTTCTGTAAACATAGTCTTGTGCTGGACTGATGCTGGAGCCCGATAGCAACTCAGATGGATCCTCAGTGAGTGAAGTAAAATCTCTCTCTCTCTCTCTCTCTCTCTCTCTCTCTCTCTCTCTCTCTCTGGCTGTGTGTTTAGCAGCAGTTGCCCTCAAAGCTTATCTCTATAAATGGATTTGTGTTGGTGCACTCGGAGATCTCAGTGTGATGTTCTAATCTGATTGACCACAACCCCAGAGAGCTGGACGAGTCAAAGAGCCAAGTGTGTGTGTCTCTCTGTGTGTATGCATATAGGTGTGTGAGGTGTCCATCTTGTGTCTTTGAGCTGGTATTCGTCCCCTCCGCTCTACATATTTTCAACTGAGCTTAGGGTCTTGTCGGGTGGAAAAACAGCTCCATGAATGTTTTGGTACAACTGTGTTTTTGAATCTGCAGCTGTATATCTTACACATGCAGAGGTCCACATGATGGACAGTCCATTACATCCTCAGATGAAGCAGAGAGAGGTGATCTACAGAAAACACACACACACACACACACACACACACACACACACACACAGACCTAGCACCTGGTCTGCCAGAGAGCCGGTGCAGTGCCAGGCATGATTTGTCATAGCTGTGTGTTGTGTTGCGGTGAAAACTCTTCGTGGTTTGTTCACTTTGAAGGTGAAGCAAATGTTCACCTCATGTTCTTAATGCTAATTTGAATACAAGAGTGTTTTTGCAGTCCATGTTAACCACAAACAGCGAGTGCTCTGACTACAAATATTAGTAGCTGTTATGGGCTTAATCTTAAGAAGCACTAAGAACTCTCTCTTGCCTCTGGAGGTGCATGGAGTCATCAAACTTTGAGATAACCACAAATGAGTTACGCAGAGTTTAACTGCCATTTGACATTTCACAAGCCAAATGTAGCATGCATCTTTTTATCTGAGTAACACTCATATCTATATAGTGTTTATCGCTTGCACCGTGGTAATCGCTCAGTGCAGGACTATGAGGAAGTGATACACTGGTGAATGCGGTCCTGCTTTCCCTCACATGAACTCTGAAATGAACAAACGATTGTGTTATTGTAGCTCAGAAAAGATAAGGAAATGTAATTATTTATAAAAAAAAGTGTGTAAGAAAACGGTGTTGAGGCGGGCGTTGTTGTTTGAATGAATCATTTCACCTTCAAGGCACAACCTGGTGACACTCAAAAATATATTACAGCTGTTACATTTTTCTGCCTCTCGGCTATCTTTTCTTACCTTTTTTTTAAGGGTCCAGTACCCGCTGGCTGTTTAGGACTGTCTCTGCAGCAGCACTGCCCAGACGCTGAGAAAAAGCACAAATGGTGACCCTTAGATAGACTACAGCTGGTTCCACACACAAAAGGAAGGGACTTCCCTAACAGTTAGACTTTATATACACAACTCGTATTCTGCATTCGGCAGCTTTTATGTTTTGCTGTGTTTTTCCTAGAGCCTGATGCTCCTCATCCGATTGCATTACAGGAAGGTTCTTCTATTATTCAGCAGTTTGCTTGATCTGATTCCACACTGTCAGACCTTGTATTATTTATTCATGATTTCTGAGATGATATGTGATTTTGAAATACTCCCTCACACTGCTTTCCAGGAACTGGGAGGCGTAAATTGAAAACTAAATTATACGCAGGATTACAGATATGATCTGTTTTGTCTCTCTTCTCCACTCTATTCGGACTTCTGAGCACAGACTCTTTCGGTCGTGCCATTATTTTGGCTGTCATGGCAATCCTCGAGCATGACAACTCATTTTCCAGGATGTCACAGAGCAAATGTTGACTGCCTGTTTTCATCGAGCTCCAGAAGGAAAAGGGGTGTATATGGGGAGGGCTGTAGGGGATGTGTCCATTCATTTGTCGTTACGGCTCAGAAAAAGAGAGAAACGGGGAGAGAGAACCCCCCCTTCCCTTTTGCTCGGCTAGTCAAGAAGGTCGCCATAGCAACCACTCGGCATGCTGGTGAAAACCTCGTATCTCCAAAAATGTCAAAGTTGCAACAGCAGAGAAAAGAAAACTTGTGAGCATTTAGTTTTTAGGTTTTTTTGGTTTTGGGAAATGGTTTCATATTCTCAAGAATGTAATCGACCCATTTTAAGTTTTCACCTTTCAGTTGAAGGTAAAACTGTACTTACGAGGTTTCCTCATGAAAATGCTGCCTCTGTATTCTTTGGCTGCTCAGCGTTCCTAGGTAGATAAATTTTGCTCCTAGTCCCCCCCCACCCCTCCCTCCATTCCCCCCTTACAGGCCTCCCGTCGGTAATAGCAGGGATTATATATTGGATGGCACCAACCTGCAATCTCTACTACAGTTTATGCACAGTATCTATTAGTATTTAAAAAAAAAATGAAAATAGATTGAAAGAGTAAAAAAAACCCATCCAGTGACATATAATCTATCTCTCTCTGGGATCAAAATAAATGTGTTTTGAAATGAGACAGAAAGAGGCTTTATGTAAAACTTGCCTCTAAATCTGGGCTGCATATGCAAATTTTTGCCGTCAGTAGATTTACAAATGAGGGGAACCTTTGTGTTTTCGAATGAGGTTGGCCTGGATAAAACGTGATGCGCACTAGGAGATTAGGAGATGGTGTCTGCTGGATTTGGAATGAACTAATTTGACTCTCCTGACTAATTTAAGAGTCATTTCTTCACCATGGTTATATTTTCTGACCATCTGCGTATCACCCTTGGGCACCTTCTTGGACTTTGCAATGTTCATACTTTCTTCTTCATTTCCATCAAAGCCTAATGGGATCAGTAGATTTGAAGGGTAATTTATAGAGGGTATATTTGCTGTATCACAATGCTCTAGGGTATCCTTACTACTTCAGCTCCTCCTCATTTGAGGAAACCGTTCTCTACTCTTAACTGAACCCTTGTCATCTTGCGACATACCGTTTCTGCTCAAAACAGGAACTACATCACCTCCAGCTTCTTTTCAGCCGTGCTGTGTTGTTAATTATCTGACACGATCTCTGTCCTTCTTGCTCTCTGCTTAAATAAAGGTGGTGATCGGGATCCCTTTAAGGCCAGCAGTGCCAGGCTGGCTGCTGCTCAGTAAGCCCCTGGAGGTGAAGCACTGAGACAACTCACCGCCGCCTGGATCCAAGGATTGTCTAAAGTCACTGGGCTGGAGAGCAGACCTCACTTCCCCACCTCCAGCTTCTGTCCACCCTCTCACTGACGACGACGACGACAATGTGACTACTGGACTCTGTCAGAAGCATGTGACCTGCCACGTGAACTATGGATCTGAGAATCAGCATACATTGAATCAACACTCATCCAGGTAATTTAGTCCACTGTGGCCTGCATACACAACACTGCATCAATGTACGTATTTAGCTACTGATATGAGCTTCTTATGAGTTCACACTTGAGGTTAGACTTTTTTTTATCACAAGTTCCTGGCATTTTTGTGGCTATTCTGTCACTTCTTCAATCTCAATCTGGTGATTCAAGGGTAGAGCGTGTTGTCTGTGTCAGCTGGTAATAAGGACCAAGAAATGGGAAGTTGAACAGTAGTTTGAAACGGTAGTGAGAACGGAGGACTGCGCAGTAGTGTACAGTGGTAAAACCAGCATTATTTAGACCGTGCATGCTGCAGCCGTTTTGAATATAAAATGGTATGGTTTGTATTCATGCTGTGTTAAATTCACAACCTGTTGTTACAACACATGCTCAGTGGCTAATAAAAGATTTTAGAACTGCAAAAGCCTCTCAACACACATGCTTTTGACTTTTCTTGTATTTAACAATCCCCTTCATTGTTGTGCAAATCAAATATTTTGGTCTCCGCCAAGCTGTTTAATGACTGGTGGAGGTGTTTGACCATGAAAAAATAAAGAAAAAAAGGAACATGCAGTAGATAGGAGAGTGGAAAACAAAGCCCGAATAATAAGACGGAAGGAAAGAGAAAGGAGAGGAGACTGTGTTTGTGTTAAAATGTGTGTCTAAGTCATTGTCTGTCCACATCTGTCTGCATGTGTACGTATCTTATCCAGGGTTTTTGTCAGGAGTGTGTGGCAGTCTTGTTCCCATTTCCGCTCTGGAGCAGAGCGGTACAGGAAGGCTGACTGGTTGGCTGGCTGCACAGGAAAGGAAACAGTCTCTATCAAACAGCAGATGGAGGACAGCATGTGCTTACACTGCAGAAACACACACGCATGCAATATACACACAGGCACGCGTGCTTGCAGTCCTACACACATAAGGAACTATGTGCAAGTAGCTTTTATCAAGAGTGTGACCCAGATCGCACATCACATTTGTTAGCTGAGGAGAATCTTATAGAGTTGTTGTTGAATGAGGAATATAGAGACGTTTCAAATGCACTTTTGAAATGTTTTCATAATAGCAAAGGATTTTTTTTTTTCCTGGAAGGTTGTTTTGCTCTCTAAGACTTTTTTCCGCCCTCATTGTCTTTACTCTTTACACAGCGCTGCAGTCCCCTGTAGCTCTTCAACCTTCAATTTTTATTCACCTCTGGAAAAAAGGGCTCACAGCTTCGTTTCGTTCACCAAACTGCAAAAAAATCTGATTATGTAAGGTTATGAAAAAGTATTTCAGATACCGCCATAACTTTTTCAGTAAACCCAATCTATCAAGGTGTACCTTGTACCTCTATCAAGGTACAAGCTCCTTGGGGCACCTTGTACCTTGGGGCTCCTTGTGTGAAGCTGTGTTTAGTTTTACTTTCTGGTCTCAGCAGAGCTGAGATTTTGACCCTTGTGGCCTTCAGGTCAAAAATATTTGTCTGCTGTTGAGATTCAGTGATACTCAACAATTCCTCCCTCTAACCTCCGAGTGGTGTGTATGCCTATGATTTTGAATAGCCTGTCATGCCTCTGTCAGGAGCTGTTAGTGGTGGGTCAAGCCTTTCCCTGCATGCCTGCCCGTCTTGCAGAGCTTTTGTCAGCAGCGTGTGAGGACTGGATGTTGCACTTCCTTTTTCTCAAGAGGGCAGGGAGTTCTCCGAGAGGCCTTCGACATAGTCATTTGCTCTCTCCATATGGTGTGTGTGTGTGTGTGTGTCCTTTCTCATTCGTGTAACAAGGCTGCTTTAGGAGGAAGGACAATGCTGCTCACTATGGTTCCCAAGGCCTAACTGAATGACATATTTCTATAGAATTCAGGCAAAGACCAAAACAACAGGGTTACACAATCGTAATCAAAGTGCTGCTCAGTGATCCTGCGAAAGAGGATTGTGCAAAAATGTGTTCAGTTGGGGTTTGAGTTTGGGTAACATAACTACTGTGCTACCATTTCCAGTTCCTCCTAGGAGGCAGGCTGCTGCTCCAGCTTCAGTTACTCTAAACCTGGACTATGCCGGGAAAATACCAGTTATTTTGTACTTGTTTGTCAAACCTATTGTCGCCGGGTTTGTGATAAGGGAGCATTAAATGGTCTTCTTATTCTGATAGATGAAGTGTGATACTGCGGTTTTGCTATAGAAACCGGAGCTGTTTGACAGTAAAACCTTGCTTCACATGCAGACAGTCTGGGGACGTGTCAAAAACCAGTCCTCACATCCCTTTTCAAAGAGTCACAGGAGGGTTTTATAGCCTGCATCTGCACTGAGCAGACAGGTCTGCTCTATCTCTGCAGAGCAGCAGCGTGGGCCGTTCACTTATCCCTTCTGGTCCCACATCTCCTCTCCTCCTCCCCTCAGAATCAAGTGGCTTTTTGTTCTCCTGCAGCAGTGCTTATCACTCGTTTCTCCACCGCTGCCCTCCTCATCCTTCTCTCAGGGAACTAAAGGATATTTTGAGGGATGGATCTTGTCTGTCCTGCACATATCTCGAAGGGCTGCTGTTATCTCTGTGTCTGAAAATGGGGGTTCTATGCGAGATCCCCCGCTCTCGGGCTCCCTGGGGGTGGTTTTCTACGAGAGACAGATCTGTTTAGCCCCAGTCTCTGCATCAGCACTTATGTTAAATAAATCTCACGGCAGTAGAAAAGCTTTGTGGATTGTCATCATTACAGGCACTGACACTGCAATTAATTCAGATTCATTTGAGTGAAGTAGGTTTCTTTATCCCGCAGGATTTCTCAATTGCCTGTTATTTCTATGCTTGAATAAAATGACATATGAAATGAGCCATACATTCTCAGGGGAGGCAGTGTGGTTGGTTGTAATGCGCTCTAAAACCAGCCTCCCAGACACCATCTGAGTCAGCTGTTATGATTCTGTGTAGAACTACATTCTAATCTGTTTAATGCTTTTTATTGACCATTAAAACTGTCGAAAAAGGACCTCATGGATTTATGGTCAGTTGAAAGAGGTGATATGACCATAATGTGACCACCAGTCATCATTTTGTTTATTGTTTCAGATTTATTCTGATGTGTAAGCTTATAATCAGGAAGAATGTGGTTCCTGAATGGCTTATGTTTCTGCATTGAAGGAACCACACCGTCTAATCAAATTCATATCCATAGGATGTTATGAATTATAAAGAGTCCTGATAAAAACAAGGTCATTTAAAGTGAAATGACAGTATCTGTGCCTCATTTTCATATCTTTGTTCATTCAATGACTGTGGGTGATGAGAACATGTCTCTATCACTAACCAGGGCAAAGAGAGTGAGCCTCGAACACAAAGTTTTAACGGTATTCTGGTATCACGGTATACAGTCACGGTGTGAAGATTGGCACCGTGTACATTTACTTATCTACAATATTGAAAATAACTGACATAAGTGAGTATGTGCGAGTGAGTTAAAGGTACAGACGGGAGCAGTCTGCCTGCATTGCCGTGTTTCTACAGTTCATGTTAGTTGTTGATAACCATAGTTTATTATTTTCTATGCTCGCAGCTGATGTTATTTTTCATTTAGTAGTACATTTAACATTCTATAGCGCCGCTAACATATAAACTAACATGTTTCAGTGTACGGCTTATATTTTGTGAGACTAGTTTGACATTTTGGGAAATACAAATATTTGCTTTCTTGCTGAGAATTAGGTGAGAAGATTGATGCCGCTGTGAACTTGTTTATTTCCCCAAAAACACTTAAATTAACAAAAATATTCTACCATCTAAGTTAATGTTAGGCTGTGGCTCACTTGCGTTTTAGCTCGTGTGTGCATGCTTGAGAAGAAGTTGTGAAGACGGGAGGAGGTTTGGTGTCTCCAAATTGCACACATAAAATGAGAAGTTACACGCAATGCTCTTTTTTTTTTTTTTTTTTTTTTATCGACTGCTTCTAAAAGGACACTCCAGCTGAGGCTAATTGCTCAGCTAAAAGGAATTTTCATGGGACTACTCTCTGTGTTAGTTAGTGGGAATTTATAGCCTCAAAGACAAGTATTTCAGATGATTTATGTTGAATTAAAGTTGTTTTTTTTAAGATGTAGGATCATATTCATCCTTGCTTACTACTAATTTCTGACTACTAGTCATAATCAGAAAAACATGACGATAACACCCATTTTGACAAATACCAGAAACCATTTGAAAAATGTAGGTTCAACATATACTTAGAGTAGACAAACCTAAACGACCCTCGTCTCATATTTAATTCATAAAAACTCATTAGTTTACCAGTGTACAATGTTACACGTTTGTCCTCCTCTTAATGGCCCTACAAGTTAAGCTGTAAATTCCCCATACATCACCACACTGACAGGCTCCCAGCTTCATACACAATCCCTTCTTCTTCTTCTCTGTCCCTCCACATGTCGCTCACGCTAATACCTGCTCATAGCACAGCGCCGGTAATCACAGAGTGCTGGGTGATAATGAGAAGTGTCACAGCGGCGGTTCCGTCATTTCCAGCCCAGCTGCCGTGCATTACTGCGGCTATCGACGGCTCTGGTTCCAGGCCATAATTGCTCTGCCTCTGAATGGCAGATGGGAGGAGGTAAATCCCAGAGGTGTCAAGGTGGGAGAAAGATGGATGCCTCTGTGTTCAATGCTGTCAGGTCTGCAGGTGTAAGGGGCCTGGAGGACATGATGAGACCCTTTAAGGGGGCGATTGTCACCACACATGATGGAGCACTAGTGGAATGATTTCTGGCACGGTGGTCCGTGTGTTTCCCAAGGATCCCCCGCTGAAGCGTTTGCGTATTTGTGGGTATGCGTGTGTCTCCATGTGTGTGTATTTCATGCCAAAAGGCTAGGCAGTGTAACTGTGTATGCCAACTGTTAGCAGATTTGGGAAAGAAATGTATGCTTGTGCAGACGTGTAAGTCTGTGGATCTGAAGTGATTTAAAGACCTTTTGGCTCCTTTACAGAGAGAGAGAGAGAGAGAGAGAGAGAGAGAGAGAGAGAGAGAGAGA